CCGGAGCGGGGTCGGCCGCGGCTCCTCTCCGCACCCGCGGGCGGGGGGGCGCCGGGGCGGCGGCCGCGATTCGCGGGCAGGTGCGCCCGCTCCGAGCCCGCCCCGGCTGGTCCAGCATCCCGCCCGCATCCAAGCGTGTCCTGCCCGGCCCTGCCTCGCCCCAACTTGTTGGCATCGTCGGTCGGCCAGATGTGGATCCGCAGCTGGGAGCGGGGCCGGTATCAGTTCAAGGGATGCAAAGGTTGGGTAATAATTGCAAATGCTGAGCAGCGCGCCGCGCCTGGATGCGCCTGCCAGAGGGGGTTTACACGCGGTGTTAAATAATGTGCGCCGCACACAATGCTGCTGGGAATTCGCGTGTGCATTGTAGGCAGAGCGTTTCTGGGGTATCTATTGTCCGAGTGATACAAAAATTCCTGAAGGCTATTAATCCTGGTATCTTCACAAAATATCAGATTACAAAATAAGATTGGGAAACTAAGGTTTGCCGAGTTTAATCACTGAAGCTGGACCAGAATGTTTGTTATGGGGGAAGTGGTCTAGACCTCCGAAATCTACAGAATTTTTATGTATTTAGGAAGACATAAGAAAAGTAATCTTCATATAAATTTTGTAGCACCAAGAAATTTCATGTTGGGATTTTTTTTTAATGCTTCATTCATGTATGTATGAATGAAACACATCAAAGAAAACAGTCTGTGCTTCAGTAGAGGGAGACTTTGGTGGCTTGCTGTTACAAAATACACCTGACAGGTGAGAGAAGTAACTGGAAATGAAACACAGAGGAAGGAGCATGCCTAGTGAAAGTATTTTGGAAGTGACTGAGTTAGACATTCTTCTTTTTTCTTCCCCCATTCCTCAGCCACTTGTTTGAATGGAAGGATGGTTAAGGATATACATGAAAAAGTACCTTCTAGAAAACTGGTACAACAGGCAAGTTGAAATTGAGCTTGCTGGGATGGAATAGATACTGTGCACCCCTGGCAATGATACCTGTGGCTGGGATCGATGGCACCTCGTGGCTGGGTGCCTCATACCTGCAGGTGGTCAGCTGCTCTTGCCAGGTGCCATGTGGTTATTTCCATAAAATGTGCAGCTTCTACAGGATACTGTAAAACACGTCAGTATTGACCATCTTTTTATGGCATGATGTTGGTGGTGTATAATTTTATACTCATAGCAGTAGTCATAAATGTAATTGTTTATCACATGGTGTGACTACTGCCAAAATTGTTTTAATGTTGTAGGTACGACATTTTGATGATAATGACATTACTTTTTATCAAAGCCTGGAAAACTTCCCTGTATTGAATGTTTTGGAACAGATGCTCCTGTAGAGTCAAGAAGTTTTTATAAAGTACATTTTGAGCTCTGTTGGAGCTCTTGGGAGTAATCACACTGGAGGGTGGCTAGGCATGTAGTTTTAGAAAGTTTGTTGTAAGCGGTTGGAAGTCAGACATACACTGTTTTCAGACTGTACATAATACAGGTCCAGTTGTGTATGAAGGGCTCTGATTGTGACTGGAGTATGAATTGAAGGGCTTCAAAATTTTGCTGCATTGAGGAGTCTATATCTATAAAAAAAACAGATTAAAAAAAGAAAGTTTTTTGCAACCTCAGCTCAAGATTTTATCTTGATAGTAAGTTTGTAATACAGAAAGAATGTGAATTGTGTTCAGTGTAATCAAATCAAAGGGAGTGAAGGAGATAATGAGGTCAGGGAAGAAAAAGAAAGTTCTGATACTCTTTGGTGTGTTTGCTCAGAGATTATGCATGACATTTGGTGATACTATAAGCATATTCAGAATGAAAATGTAGCACTGCTTTGAAAAAATAATAGAAGAATGAAGGTTTTTGTTAGTACTTTGTTTCTACTACTTGCTCCAAATCTGTACTATGACTACAGTCATACCAATATAGCAGTTGCTTGAAATAGGCACTCTGGTATAGTACCAGCACTCAGAACTGCTGGAGATCAGTAGGGGTTTTTTTTCTGCACTCAGTTTCGGTTTTGACCACAATTAGATACTAATCTTTATCCAAAATGTTGATTAAATTGTGATTTAGATTTAAGCCATTACTATCTAATTATCCTGCTAAGGCATATAACTATTGGAAGACAAATTGAGGTACCATGTGTCCATGTTGCCTTACTGGTGCTCAAACAAATGAATGGAGAACCTGCCCTATTTTGCAGTGTATGGAAGTAGAAATTTAAGTTCAAGGTGAAGTTGCTATCTCTAAGATTAATCAATCAGATCCACATCTCTGTGTGAGAGAAATTGATTACTTTTTTTACTTAATGCTTGGCAGAACTAGAGGCAGAGATTTGAGAATGGTGTTGGTTATGTGCTAGTTGGAAGTCAGTGCAAAATATGAAGGGTTAGCTCCATCAGAGCTCCATCATTTGACACATCAGTCTTCTCTATGTGCCCAGCTGTGTAGCAAAAGAAAAGCTTTGTTACTTTAACAATTTGCTAGACTTTTTTTTCTTGGAACTAGAGTACTAGGTAGCTAAAGGAATGGAGAAGAACTTGTTTTCTGCTTCTGTGTGTATCCCCCAACAAGGTATTGTGCAGTAACTTGTTGCTGTGTTAAGATTTCCTTTGTCTCTCATTTTGTCTTGCACCAAGTTAACCTGAAGGACTACTTGGAAAAGTTAATGTGTTCTTTATAGGCTTCTTGGGCCTGTTTTTTCTGTTGTTATTTTCAGTCATTTGATGAGAGAGAAGATGGTGTTCTTTATAGGCTTCTTGGGCCTGTTTTTTCTGTTATTTTCAGTCATTTGATGAGGGAGAAGATCCTCAGTGTCAGCAAGAACCTAGAGCAAACTTACCTTTCTTCTGTATTTTGTAGTAGGAAAAAACCCCCACTGCTTGGGAGTGAAAAGCCTTGTAAAAACTGTTTTTCACATCTTGGAGAATGTAAATTGGCTGCTCAGGAAAGGAAGCATTCTGTCAACAGCTGTGGCACATTAGGTCCTTAGAGTTAATGAATGAGTGAATAAATATTAATGTAGTTCATATTCCTTGTGTCTTTTCAGGGGACAAGGAACAAAAGTAGCCATGTCCTTCCCAACCTGGACTACTTCGCAAGAGAAGTATGGGAAGGTTTACCTTAAAAACTTGGCTGCTGTCACATGTAGCATAATGCATTGAGGTTGCAATTTGAATTATTTTATTGTAGTTACATCTGTCACCTAGCTTATATTTTTCCTGTTTGTTCTCATGTAATATTTCTGCCTCTGCTTCTTTCTTCTTTCTGTAAGGTGAAGCCTGACAAATAATGTGTGGGTCTGTTTCCACTTCTGTCACTGCCTTGCTGATCTTCTATTGACAAATGACTTATCTTGATGTGTCAGCTTACTTGTCATTAAATTGGAAAGATTTAAATTTGCTTTGACAATGATTCTAGGAGTGCAAAGCTTTCTTTTTGGCTTTTTGGTCACTGTGGGGTTGGGGATTTCAGAGAATAATCATTGCTTTCACTTCTTCCACCAGAGGGAGCAAAATTTTTTTACTGAAAATATACAGAAATTGTAGGGGTTATTTGTGCCCTTCATTTGTTGTAGAAATTGGTAACTTATAGTAGAGGAATAGTTGAGCAGGGGAGATAGGAGACTGACTATGACAGTATGTGAACATCAACTTTTTATATGAGTTGTCTAAAAGATTGATGTTGAGATCCTGAAATACAGTCTGAACTTCAGTGATTATCTTCTCGATAAGGAAAGGAAGAATGTGGCTCCAACTACTAACAGCATAGATGTGTGAAGATATGTGGACAGAATAAAATGTCATGCTTATGATTATGCACTTGACTTAAACTCCCGGATGTAAAAATAAGCAGTATTTTTTCACCAGAAGAAAAAAAATTTCTCTACTATTTCCACACTTTTCTTGGTTTTTGATTTTTGTGTTTTTTGTTTGGTTGGTTTTTTTTTCCCCCCCAATCTAGTTTTAGCTTTTATTTGGTCAAGTTTGCTCATTTATGTAGAATAAATACAATTTTCTACGTGGGTGCCATCAATCATCAAAGAATCTAAACTGACTTTTTTTTTTAAGAATAGACAAAGTCTAAAAATCCAAGTCTTCCTAAACATGAATTGCATTAGCCACACAAACTTCCTTCATTTAGTGATCATAAGCCTGCTTGCTGTACCTTTACATAGTTTTCTGCATAGGCTTCCTTGTTATCCAAATTGCTTTCATCATCCCTTAACACACTTGTTTCCACATAAAAGCACTGACCTATGCTGAGCCTGTATTTCACCTTTAAGCCCTCAAGGAGAGTGGGCAGGAATTTTTTTCCCATGTATATATCTATGAAATATTTATTTCTTACATGCATATGATGTAAGAAAGCAATTTAGCAATTTTTTTTCTTTTATTTTGATGCCTTGGAGGTGAGTACAGCTGTAGTTTGGTGAAAAGGCAAGGCTTGGAGAGGGGGTAGGGAATTTTGCTGAGAAGCATTATGTGCCTGATTTGCCTGCAGAGTACATCTGAGTATGTCTCCTAGTTAGTTAGATCTGTTATTTCTCAAAATTTTGAGCATTAGTGATGTCTTCTATCTTAGCGTCTTTA